ATACTACTTTTTATTTTTACCATGAGATCATGATTATATATATATATCGTAAATTGTTTTAATTTATAAGCAAAAAGTCAATATTTTAGATATGTAGTTATTTTATATCCTTAAATCGATAAATGAAAATATTGAGATGATTTTAAGGAATAAGAAATAAGAAGTTGTTTGTAAAACAAGTTTATTCTACTTAAAAATATGACTTTTAAATAAGCTAATAATGATATAGGTAGTTAAATAATAACGAATTGACGCTAAGGTTTGTTATTATTGTTTATATAACTGAACATTTAATAACCTAATGAATTAATTGGTTTTTTTATATAAGCAATATAAGATTTTTATGATAAAAATTCAATAAAATGTATAAATATTGTTTTTCACGTAACCCTATTTCAAGAAAAAAGTATATATGAACTGTCAACTGTTTTATCCTATTTGCTTAGTCTGTGTAAATAAAGTACTTAAAAATAGATGTAATAATTTATATATTATGTAATTTAGATATTAATAAATGTAATATTTTGTTATAGTTCAAAAATTCAAGTATTTTGGACCTTGAGTTATTAATATGTACTTATGATATACTTATTGAAAAGAAAAAAATCTAAGGTTAAAGAAAGAAAATTTAAAATTAATTACTTTAAAAATAAAAGAAGACCTCGAACTTGTATTGATGTATATTTATATACATAATTAATTTACTAGTGTAATTAATAAACGTTTCGTAAAAATAATTGAGTGTTAGTATTTTATTAAAACTAAACCAGTTATTCTGAATAAAATAATTTTATCGTGACTCAAATTCTTAATATTCCAACTAAATTTTATAGTTAATTGGGATTATATACGAAATAAAAAAATAAAGTAAAATTGTAAAAGTTCAATAATAATAAAAAAATAAATGTACAATTTCACTCTGTCTGAAAATGTACATCAATTACGTTTAATCAATATTATTATCACAATACATCAAAGTATAAATTTTAATTTATGAACATATATATATTATATTATATTATATCGTATGTATTAATATTATTAAATATAATATATAAATGAATGGTGTGCAGTTAAAAGTTATAAATATTTATGGTAAGTCAAAATAATTTTACTAGCTTAAACGTTTCTAATAATGTGTTCATTTAATTTTAATCACATCTTTAAATTTTAAATGAACTCTGATAGCTATCTGTTTAACATAATATGTATTTATCATATTATAGTTATTCAAATAAAAACTATGCTCAAAGGTTATTTATGAATAGTCACACCCAACAAAATCGGTGGACATGAAGTGTCATTTGATAAAAAACTACATTCCCTAAGTTTTAGCCGATCGAGTTTAATGATCCGACCTTGTCCTCGATCTACGGTATAGTGAGACGAACTTAAATTGACTGTTCGTAATGTTTTATTATTATTTTTTAATTTGTTCTTAATTTAGTGCACCGAAGGAGACACCTACTGTTCCAGGCCGTCGATTACTAGTTGCTTCCAACCGAGACAGCTTTTGTTTACAATGGAGAGAGACCACCATGCAGGACGAAGGTCATCACTTGCGTAGGCCCTGCCTATCATGCCAAAATGAAACACCTTACGGGTGCAACATTTCCAAAACAAAAGATTTGGTTTTTATTGTTTTTATCTCAGCAGAAGAAACAGTCAATCTAATTTACGAGACCAATTGACGTAGGACTGTAGAAATAGTCAGCACAAAAGTTTAAAATATCACTGCCGGTACCTATTTTATTTAAATTATAAGTTAATAATTTACTACTTTGTCAAACTTAAAATTTTTAAATATTATGATAAGCTTTAGTTATTTTTTCAAGAACTACAATGATTGAACAAATATATATACAACAAATTTAAATAAATTATTATATTTATGTATAATTGATAAGATAAATTAAAACCGGTTGCATACAAAATTAGTTCAAACTATTAATATTATGCATTATAATGATAAAATAAAAAAAGTACAATAATTAACTATTACTTATTAAATTTTGTATTCTATACGAAAGTTTTAATAAAAACTAGAGCCATACCATATTATTATATTATTGATGCGTGAAAATGATCTATTCGCTTACTCTATAAAAATATAAATCAGTTGAATACAGTTTAGAAAATTATTTTTAGAGCGAAATTACTACGTGCGTATACTTCCGTTTAAATGAATAGCATGAAGTGTGGACATTATTACTAAACTCCTCGAGGCTTAAATAAATTGATTGCTCATGTGTAAAACATGGTTTACTTAGATATTACGAACGTTTTAGGTGAAAGAGATGCTGTAATATAATGTTTTGATCATCAAAACGTAATTTTTTTGAACTGACTCTGAGTCACTATTTCACGTGGTTATGTCACGCGATCATCATAGGACACCAAATTAATGCTTCATAATAATGACGATAAAACAAACTATAAAATTTAATGCCCATTGTAATTTGTAAATAATAAATTTACGTACCTATTTCAATTTCCAACAATCAATTAATGTATTATGGAATATCAGTTTTCAATTATTAAAATAAAATAATATTGAAGTTTATAATGATGTGTTAATAGTGTATAATTAATAATACTCATACCTATATCGATGCCGATGGCAAAAATCTGTTCTTTCTTTTTATATTAAATGAAATTATTTTAGACGACATTATATATACGATATACCCAAGGGTGGTACCACAGGATTCTTTTTAAATCAATGACGAAATACATAAATTATATTCATAACGTATCTTCAAGAGTACATTAACATTACAATGACGATTACTTGTGAATCAATTGGAATGCATATTTGCAGTATAAAAGGAAATATTTTAGTCCTATAATTTTTACATGGCTTAAAAATATTAATAGTCAAAAATCTTTCAACCATAATCGATTTTTACCATCTCAATTTAAATAAATTATGATCCAGGTGGTCAAGCTATTTTATCTCAACAATCTAGAATTCTAAGTACCTACGTGTTTAACGTTTAACTATATAATAATAAATTCCTATAACTTTTTCAATTTTTAAGTTTTACAATTTAATTTATTAAAAAAAGCACAATAATACTATACACCAAGTAACAATAAAATTAATTAATTGCAAGTTAATCATATTGAAATTGTTTTTAATTAAAAATCCTATTCATTATTGTATGAGTTATGAGAATGATGTATAGGTATGCTATAGTTTTATAACAATCGAATTAACTGAATTAAAATGAAAAATATAATTATTGATTAATCTGTATTGGATTCAATACTAAAATTGATGTTAATAAGATGTACAATAAATATCTATCAGCATTTCTGTAAAATTATTCTGCCTTCTAAGTCACTAGAAAGTTGTAATTTTGTATTCATAGTTCATAACATACGATTTGTCTTGCAATACATTGAGTGAGTACATTACAACTGAATAGGTATATCATCATATCGTTATGTTTTTTTCTCACATGACGATTTACTTTTATGGTCACATTCTATTGTTATGCATCATGTGAAATAGTGAAAAATATTAAACTATGAAACATTAAAATATTTAATATCAGATGTATAAAGTTTTGTAAAATAATTACGTTTTACAAATGACAAGAAATCGAAAAGAAATAAACTTGTAAACTACTTACTAATAAAGATATAAATATAATTGATTTATGGCTATATACAAATTAGTTATTAGTAGGTATATTTAATATTTTAATATGATTTAATGTCACAATTTCAAAACTATATTTTTTAGATTTATTTAAAAACTACAAAACATTATAATATTTAGTATAATAATAAAATTATGAAATAAATAACTCTCTTATTGACATTTCTTACAAATTAATTAGCACAAGTCATACCGTAGTATATTAAACTATACAATTATAACTAAAATTTTTGTTCAAAATTATAACTACGTTAATAATTATTTAAAAAATGTAGTTAACTTTTATCATTTGATTATTTTTTATAATAATTACTTAACATTTACTTAGATTCGTAATTTTTTTTATTAAGCAACTACATGGTTGTATGGATATGTTCTTAGGTTAGTTTTAATAATATTTAAATAACAGTTTCAACCTGTTTATAATGGACATTAACCATATTCTACATAACCAAAAAAATAAAGACAGAGTCAAATTGCGTGTAATATTTTATCTTAAACACATTACTTTTGATTTAAATAATCGAGTTGTATTTTTCTCGATTAATTAAATTAATGCACAATGAGTATATTTTGAAATTTATTATACTTTATTAAATGTTATTGTTTTAACTGAAATTAAATATAAATTTTTATCGAATTTTCATCCCCGAAAATTTTCTTACAAAGAAGTGATGCTAACATACACTATTTTTGTATATTTACCCAAAAAAACTTTTGTTAATGAATTCATTTTTAACTTAATTGAGCACTAAAATTATTTATTGATTTTTTTCAGGCTTGTGATAGTTATTATTTATTAATAAACTCAAGTAGAATTTTTTTTTTTTTTTAAATAAAGGCATACGGGAATATCGCTTGATTTGATATGTGAAATGTGAATATATAATTTGAACTATTTACAAAAAAACAAAAGACTTAACTAAACGTAAAAACAAGAGATAAAAATGTTTTGCAATTGCAACTAATTTAGAACTGATTAAGTAAAACTAGTTTAAATTAAAAAATGTAAAGGAAAAAGCAAATTTTAAAGCATTTTATACTGTACCAATTCAATTTTTAAAACTTTTTAAACATAGGTTACTAGGAATAAACGATTTTTTTTGTTTTTTTTTTTTTTTTTACTCGCATATTCAAAGAACTCGTAAAATTTACCCTATAGCTTGAAGGCGTAAAAATAAAAAAGTAAACTTGGTAGTATATCGGATAACAATTTTATTTCGTAAGCATATGTGGTGCGACAAAGCTCGATATCCAATTTCGACAACATATTATTGTAGTTTAGCTTTAGGTAATCGCGATGGACACTGGACTCTCGCGCGTTTTCACTCACCTGGAACACGCAGTAGAACGTGTACGCCAGACGGGCTACCCGCGACGAACGCCGCACGGCAGCAAGAGATGTCACATCACTGGTCTGAGTCGGCATAATGGTTCCCCGCAGGAGCAACGGTGTCCGACGACTATTGCGATCCCATTAAGAACGAATCGTCTAGAGTGCTGGGTGAACACGAACCTCGGCACGGGTATAATGTCGTGTCACTTGGCGGCAAAACGAAACGTTTTAACCCCTCGGTGTAAGGTGTTATTGCGCGTCGTTATTATCAATTATGCTATAATAGTATACCTAATAATATTATGAATTATTGTAATACCGAAATAAAACGTGTTAACACGGTCGGTCGGTCGCGTGTGAGACTTGACGACTGACGGGCGGGCGGAAGGAATGATAGTAAAGCGGACGTGTACTCGTAAATTATTACGAAATCGCAAACGGAAAACTGTACGGGACACGAGTGTAGCGGCGGCGGCGGCGTCGGCAACGTGCGCGGGTGACGTCGTCGCGCGTACACCGATATTATACTATACGGTTGTCGCGTGACGAATGAAAGCCGCAAACTCGCTGCGGCGGACTACCACACGCGGAACAGGTCCCCACAGACTCGACCGTCCGTTCCCTCTACAACACTACGCGTCGTCCTGCAGCTACCGCCGCCGCGACAGTGGAAATCGAAAGCGGAACTTCCGACGGCCGATTGCATCGCTATATATTAGGTATATTATATTATAATATTATAGGTATATTTATACATAACATGACATTACGGCGTTATGATATCGTAACCGGCACCGCGGTATCCGTGTCTCGTTTGTCCGCTCTGTTGTCGGTGACGATTTATCCACGGCAAAATAAACGCGGTATTTAAGTACTTTAGTTAAACCTGCATATTATTATACCTTTTAAGAAATACGAAGTGGTTGCATACTGAACGCATCGTTTACAATCGAACGCATTACCCCATATGCAAATGTCAGATTAAATGTAAATTTAATTACACGTATGTTATGGTCACTGCATAATTGCGAAAAGGTGTATCTAAACGTATTAGAAATCATATATTATTATAAAAATAGTTACGCATTTTTTTTTTTTCATTTACAGTGCAACGACGTGGTGACGAAATAGTGTCTGTGTAGCCAGATCCCAGTTAGATCTGCAGCTAGTTATTAATTAATAATGTATAATTATGCTATTTCACACATTTTGTGCCAATCGGATTTGCCTTTTCCCGGCAATCGTTTCGTGTCCATCGTCTACGAGTCACGTGACGGGAGTATACACAAATATCTACATAAATATAGTTATTAAATATTATCGATATATTATTAAATATTCAGCTATTAAATGATTAGAAAATTAATTTATTGACGCGAGTAAATTTTATTTGCATCAAGATTATGAGCAATATAAACAACTGAATAAATTAGTATAAGAATTACCCATTAAATTTAACGAGACCTTAAAATAAAATTAACCTGTTAAGTTGTACAATAATCTTAAAATTATGTTCAGTTAATAAATAACTTCTTATGTGAAGAAGTTACACTTAAATGCATCATATAGACTTTTCGATGGCTTGTAATGTCTTGGAAATCTCAAATTCGGGATTTCCGTAGATTATTGTGGTGTAATCAACTATGTCGTCATTGGTCATCGGTCGCCGTAACTAATACTATCATCACTGAACATAGGCGCCGTCGTTGCCTTAACGAGGTCGTGCGGACCGCGGGTATTTACTATTTTACCACAGTCTATATACTCTATAGAAAATAAATAGTGGTTTCTTTTTACGGGATATATTGTCCACGGAAGTACTAAGAGAAATTATCTAATACTACGTGATTATCTGGTCGTCATTAACTTATTCTCCATAATTAATGTCTATGAAATAACCGATTTAAAAAAATAATAATTTTTATTCCGGACGCAATAAATACGAACAATTTGAGTAGGTAGTGATTAATAATTGTATTTATTTTATTTTATTTATTAAAAATACGGGCTGGTAGTCCAATTATTACACTATAAAAAACATTTAAAATCATGAAATATTAGCATACAAAAAGATTAGTAATAATAAAAAAATAAATAATACCAAAAAATAATAATAAACAACAAACAGAATTTATATATTCTTTATATATTCTTACAATAATTCATGAGCTGCATAATTTGTGTTATAAACAGTAATATAAAACATATAGTTATTATAAATAATATTATTATATGTATTGACCGCTTCTTATGTGACAAAATAGATATTTCTATTTGACTGAAAAACTCATTATGTCTTTAAAACAACATATTTTAATTTATTGTCATACTATAACTATCAAAATGTCTATATTGTAGATACCGTTTAGAGAGTAATAATTATACATATGCGTTAACAAAATGATAGGTTTCAATGTCTTTTGAATATTTTTACGAGAATCTGAATGTATTCTAACAATAATATTGTTGAAATACTAGTATTTTAGAAACATATATAATATTATAGAAGCACTGATAATGAATACAATTTATACACTGTTATATAATAATATGTATAAGTAATTTATATTATTCTTAATTTATATCATATGAGTTTTAAAATCGAAAATGTACTGTACTGAGACTTATAACAAATCCAAAATAAATATCGCTTTATAATAGTTTTATTTGCATTTGAATCTTGTATGGTCGTGTGTTTCGAATTTTATTATTGAACAATCGCATTTTATCTATACATGTTCTAAACAAAAATTACTTTTGAATCAATTTAGTTGTTTTATACCTATTTAGCAACAAATTATTTATAAAAATAAAAAGTAAACCATAATCAAATTAAAAAATAACACGGATTAAATCTATTGTTTCAAACAATATATGGTTACAATGATAAATGTTCTATGTTTGAAAATATATAAAATATTATAATGAATATACTATGTTTATATATTAAAAAATGTATTGCAATTTATGTACCTATTAAGCATTTGTTATACTAAATGCGTTTGTATTTAACGAAAATTTCTTAACAATTTAATTGAATTTAGAGGGTTTGTAGCTAAAATTGTTGATAATTTATAAGATAATTTTTACTCAATTATTAAGCTTTATTTTTCAACATTTTTCAAATTTATATTTTATTCCATAATAAATAATGACTTAAATTAATTTGATAAGAAAAATCTTTAAAATATATAACAACTAATGTTATATTAAAACATGTTCCATACCTTATTTAGATTTTAATATGGGTGTTTTAATTTATGTAGGAAATAGCCTACAGTAAAAAATCAATAGGTAGTTGATTGATGATTAAGAGGAAATAGTGGCTCTCATATTACTGTGCAAATTATAATAAATTATATTTATAAATAATATTTTTTGCTATAATTTAACCTTTGTTTTAGCTTAGTTTGATTTACAGTTAATTTTTACTATCCAGCGCTACAAATTATCTAAATTAATTTCATATCATCAAGGAAATTTACCTAAGTAGAGGCACTTAGATTATAAACATAAATATACCTTCTCGTTCATACTATTGTCCTTGTGCAGGGATTACACAATCGGAACGCACCTAACATACAACATACATTGTTTATGCATTGTTGCAACTCATTACTCACTTAAATTATATGTAAATATTATATATTAGAGAGAGAGAGAGAGATATTAAATATATATTACTTATTATCATGCATATGGACATGAAATTGTATCAATGTCAATGTTAAATTATCACGTTGTGTCAAAAAGTGGGATCTGCGTGTTTGGTAAATATGTAGGATGATAATCCGGAGGTGGTTTTGCAAAGTAGGATGCAAAATAATAAATGCTCTTAATTTATATTGACCTTGTATCTTGAAAAACAGATTTAAATTGTTTTTCTCGCAAATGTGACGACAAAATTTTTTTCTCTTTCAACGTTGTTATTCCTAGATAGACTTGTGTTCAAGACGATCCCATTGAACATTTATCATACAAGAACAAACAGAAAAGTAATAATGAGCATAGTAATGATATTTGTGGGATAATAAACTGTATAGTAAATATACCTAGGTTATAATACCTAATAATGGGAAAATCCTTGAAATATTCTCATTCAAAAATTTTATTGAATCAAAATACACACAAAATACATTTTTTGAATACATAAATACAGGGTTCCAAATTAAGAAACGTTTCAAGGATATTTTATAAGAATAAAAACTATGATCAACGTAATTGTAAGCTTAAATTTAAAAAAAAATGTATTTACTGTATATAAATACTTCCATTTAGACTTTTCTACGTGTGTAAATTAATACGCTCAAGTTAGCATACAGTTGATACATATAATATATCAAAAAATAAATGTAATAAAAACATATTCTGTTAATTACTTTTAGTTAAAAACAAGAAGTTAATGTCTCGAACTATTAAATTTTTCTAATTTATATTGTAATAAGAGCTGATTTACCGATTACATTTATGCTGTAAAGGACTTAGATATGTAGCAATAGATCATGAATTCATGATAAATAATCAATATGTTTCGGTGAAAGTGAACCTTCAGGCCTGCGTGTATTTAATGTTTATAGGGCTCATACATATTTGTATATTGTTTCAGTTATTATATCGTGTTGGACACCATAAAGTTCCAAGGACTTTAGTTTGTATAACGAACTATCAAGCATCATTAGATCCAGAGCCGACACATATAAATATATACAATTTATGTTCTATGAAATATCTAATAATAAATATTTGCACTAATTAACAAAAAATAAATTGTAAAGATGCAAAAAAATTTTTACAGATGGAGAAACAATAGAAATTTAATATGAAAATTTAATTCTTTGTTTAAACATTTTAGTTTATTAACATTCCAAGAATATTTCAGATGTGAATTCATACATAAACAATAAACCGATTGTATTAAATCATGTGTAATAATATAGCCGTCCGAGTACTCTAAGTATAATTTGATCAGACATCAACCAACTTTATTATTTTTTTAAATCAGAAATACGAATAACTTCTAGTCAAACTTTTAATTAAATAGTCTAATAATTAATTTATGCCTCTTTTATACTGTTAATTTATTTTGAAATTCACCCCAATGCCTACAGCTAACGTTCCAAACTAATTAATGTTCAGAGCTTCAAGTATACCCGATGGAAATAGATATACTAATAAATATTCTAAAGAGAAAAGAGAACTATTGAATGATTGTATACAAAATGAATCAATATTTGTTTTACTTACCTATTATTACCGTCTTAAAAGTATAATATAACTACTCCAGTAAAATATTGATTACATTTACAATGTTAACTACGCAAGTCAGATTTAAGCGTTCAGGCGGTTCATTTAATTCAATATTACATTCAATTACTAGCAATACTAAGTTTCTCTTAAAGTACGTATACGAGTATAGTAACCTATCTTATATCTACAAGATATTATCACTGAATAGTAAATTCACATACATTATGCTGGCAGATATGTAACAGGGCACCAAAGCCTAACATAATAGTTAAACTTATAAAAAATACAATTGTATTTATATCTACGTG